CAGGGTCAGCGGGCTCAGCCACCACCGTCCCACCCTGCGGAAACCCAGGAGGTGCCAGGGTGGGCGAGGGCCGGGTTTGCCAGCGTGCGCCCGCAGGAACCAGCGGTAAGAGCCTCTCTGGCTGCAGCTTTGGGATTAGCCCCACAACAAGCCACGGCTCTGAACTTTCATCGTCCCTGGCTGAAAGGAAGCTTGAGCGGATCAAACCCAATTAATCCAGCACAGGCTTCTTTCTACTTAACGGGCAGAAGTCAGCGAACACAAGCGGGTGGGCAGGGAAGGGCGACGGCAGCGTCGCACCGGGCCCACGGCATCGCGCCCGGCGAGGAGGGGGCACGGTGTTCCCGTACGTCGTTCCAGTGAGCACCATTCTTAGACGCAGTACAGGTTTATGGGTCAGAGCTGTGGCTGCAACTCGTGCCAGACCTCCTTGGCTTTTATGTTCTGAAATTAATAACCAGGTTAACTCTGGAAAAAAGCAGGTTTTGAAAGAATCCAAAGAGGACTGCAAACGCCGTCGCTCCAGATCCTTTCAGCCCTGGCATTCCTCGCGGTTCCTCGGGAATGGCTGTTCCACAGCGCGCGTTCAGATGGCTCCTGCAGGTAACACAGCAGCGAATACCAGGGCGAGGTGCAGGTTTTATAAAGGAAATACACAGTCCCAAAATGAAATGGAAAACCCGAAAATTAATTGGGGAGGGCATGTACACTGGACCTATTAGGGGGTGCTTACAATCAACATATTGTAAATACAGCTCAACAACTTGTTAGTCTGGCAATAAAAAAGGAGCACATGTTACATAAAAATGGTTAATGTTTTAAGACCAAAAGATGAATGGAAAGGAGCTGAGGCACATTAAGTTTCCTCTCAGCGTGAAACTTGGGCAGAGTCGGGGGACTGACGGGCAAGATGCGCCGGTGCCCTGCTGGGGTCAGCCACGGCGGCGCTGGCCTTTGCCACGGCTGCAGCGGCTTGAGGGATGCTCAGGGAAGAGCAACCACGGGAACATCACCGTGCAAGGCAGGAAACCAGAGCTATTTCCAGGAAGCAGCAACTTCAAAGCTTTCTTCCACGGTCCCAGAACAGGTTCTATTTCTCTCTAGGGGACGCCCTTAAAATGAGAAGTCAGAGCGTGTTTTACAGGTATCCGTGCCAGTCCAGGCACCCAGGGGCTGAGGGTTCTGCTGCAGCCAGGGCCCCCCCAGCCCAGGCACCCCCGGAGAGCCGGTGATCCTCGGAGCACCAAACACTTTGTCTGTCCGCAGAGCTCTGCGTAGTTTATC